TAGTCAACATAGTGTACTGAAGAGTAAAAAGTTAATACAGGATAAACAGGAAGGAACTCACAGTAACTTGGTGCTGATGTTATTTTCTGTTGTCCTAACCAGTTGATTGATAACAGGCTCCATAGATGCAAGACCACTGGCAGTAGGCAATCGATTGTGCGGTCCTCTTGACATTTTAGGGTGGTAGTGAGTGTCCATTAGCGACCGAGTTTAGTTAAACAGTATCGATAGGTCCAGTGAGTTACCTGTTTACTTCAAGTGAAGAAATATGGTGGAAAAAGTAATTAATACAACTGCAAAGTAGGAAAAATAAGGCAAACTGAACTTGAAGTCCATTTTGGTCTAGACATGGAGAGAGCCTATGATGTCTGAGTGGGGCGCAGATGTGTTCGTACGTTCAAGATCAGTGCAAGTGAGGGCTTGATCAAGCAGTTTTACAAACGTATGTAATTCATCTGCCATGCGAGTTTCGGGGGGAAGACTGTTTTTCATATTATTGCATACTTGGTGAGGAAAAAGTATTCCCGAGTTTTTGATCTGTATTTCTCAACTTTGACCGTAGATACTTTGTTTCGAAGTTCGTATTCATGTGAATCTCGGGCAAGAATTATCTTACATGTTGAATAAGTACGGTTTTTGAGTAGTTTAAAGTAGAGAATCAAATTAGACCCAAGCCTTTTCTCCCAAAGGGGTGCTATTCCTAAGATTTGGCATCGGGAACTGTATTCAATGACCGAGTCAGTCTTAAGTACTTTGCGGGTGAAGTCTCGTTGTATTCCTTCCACCTTTAGTATATCAGATAGACGTAGGTTGGAAAATAAGAACGATAGGTCTTACACAAACTTTGTAAAGAAGGATTTTAGATTCATTTTGATAGAAATTACGGAGAATAAAGCCAAGCAATTTCCGCGTTTTGGATGTTTTGGCTGAGATGTGTTCAGAGAAATTAAGACTGTGTGAGTAATGTACCCCTAGGTCAGTTACTGATGCCAGTCTGTGTAGTGTGTGATTGCTAAGTGTTAGTCTCGTTTTGAGAGATGTGTCTCCTATACATAACCAGCCGCATTTCTCTGTGTTGAGCTCTAACCTCCAGCGTTTGCACCAGTCGTTTACCATGTTGAGTTCATGTTGGATTGTTTCCATAGTACTGCGTAAATCGCAAATGTCAGTTTTATAGATGACTTTTAAATCATCGGCATAGAGGTAGGTCTTACCTGTGCTAAAACACTTGCATATATTGTTGATGTAGATAATAAAGAACAATGGACCCAAGACACTACCCTGCACAACACCACTGGTTATAGGTCGAGGTGTAGATGTATTAGAGTTAATCTTTGTTATTTGATATCTGTTCGTAAGAAAAGACTTGATCCATTGCAAAAAGGGAATTTATAATTCCAACTGACTTAAGTCTGTTGATTAGAATATTATAAGGTACTTTATCAAAGGCTTTCTTAATATCGAAGTATAGTATAATAACTAGTTTCTTCTAGTCACGTATACGAGTAACCTCGTTAAAGAAGTCTATCAGATATGAACTGCACGACCTTGTTCTAATGAAGCCATTTTGTGACGGGTCTATCAGATATTCCTTGATTAGATGATCAGATAGTTGATTTTGTATCACGTTTTCCATTATGCGTGATATGACTGTAGTTTTCAACCAGGTTTCTCGGTCCGGATTTGTGTTTGGGAAGAATATACGTTACCTTCCAGGTTTCCGGATATGTACCTGTCTCTAAAGATAATGTGTATATTTTGAGTAGTAGCGTCTGTATGTCCGGTCCTGACATTTTATAAACGATTGAAGGGATGTCATCGGCACCAGAACTCGCATTTGGCTTAAGGGTTTTAATGGCGGTATGTATACTCCCAATGTCGAAGTTTATGGCACTAAGATAGTTTTGGCCGGTGCACTTTATGTCGATGTCTGGAGCATCAGATGTATTCCCATTGTGAGAAAACCATTCACTTAATAGTTCACATATGACGATTTGGTCATTATACGTTACTCCATCGTGCAGTAAGGAGTGAATGTTGTGGTCTGTGTTCTTTCTTATGCGCTTCGTGAGGAGACGACATAGGGCTTGGGCTTTAGATGCAGCAGTGAGCGCAGTACGTTCCTCTACCTGTTTACGCTTGTTGTGTTGACTTTGTACTTTGTCAAGTACAAAGTATTTCTGGTGCAGGGCACTGAAGTCTTTTGATATATAGTACATCCTTTTCAGTTTTCGCAGTTTAGACGTAGTCTTTTGGTTTATATAGGGAGTAATTGTTTTAAAACCAATTTAGGGGGTACAGTAGTGTCTAGTGGAGATTTGGTGGTGCTATTGAACATTTCTAATGTTTCTAAGAGGTTATTACTGGTAAAGAATCTGCCCCAGTCAGAGTGCTTTATTAGAAATCGAAAGTTTTCCCAGTCAGCATTTGCATAGTCTCTATATTAGAACCGCGTGTTTAATGTCTTAAATTTGTTGCATATGGCAAGAATCGGAAGGGTGCATACATATTGATATTTGGTTATTCTTTTCACTTAATTGAGACTTTCATAGCATCACTCAAACTATGATGCACAAACATTTATTCTAGCGTCATATCTTACTACAATAATAAGTTATTTTTTCTTACTTATTTTCTATTCCATTTTTGTCACTAATTTGACAATACATACATAGTCGTTTATTCTTGTTCTATGTTCATAAACACGCCTATTAAATTGGTTGCGTATTTCACGTTTCCTTTATTTCTATTTCCTTATTTTCTACCTTTCCTTCTTTAAACGCAATTCAATATTCTTCTCAATTACACATAACCTGATCTATTATTATTCTATTATTACTCTCTTTTTTCAAATATGGCAAATATAATGCTAATATTGTTGAAACTTGTGTATTATTGCATTCTTTAAGAAACCCGAAATGGTTTATTCACAAAACTTATGTACCCATAAGATGTTTGTGAATAATAATAACAATAATTTCCGACCTAAATATCTCTATTGATAACTATTTCCTATATAGAAGTGATAGATTAAAAGAACGAAGCGGAGGGTTTGAACTCAATATTATGTGATATTCCTGAACTAAACAAGCTGCAGAACCCAGTATGAATTGTTTTCAGGCCTTCGAATTTCATTCCCTTATGTTCAGTTGTGTCTACCGTCCACCTAACGCACCAGTAGCTGATATAGAAAAATTGTCAGAGGTATTCACACTAGCATGATCCCTTCCATTCACAAACAAGCTTATTAGTGGTGACTTCAAAATGACCGAAAATTCCTGGTCATCGGTCAAGGCACCGATAGGTTATAAACATTTTATTGAATGTCTAGAGCTTGGCCGGTGGATCCAGTATGTCGCTAACCCTACCAGCTATCAAAATATCTGGGACTTAGATTTTACCGGTGACCTCACCCCTAACACTATGTATATTGGAAAACCGTTTCCAGGATGTCTATGTAGCGTACTTTCAAGTTACCGACTGGTAGTACCAATCTCAATACCCTCAAAAATTATGGAGTCTGTGATTTGCGACGTCTACGTGACCACTCACTACCCATAAACCCCTTTGCACCCGAACAGCACGGTTTCAGGAAGTGTCGCTCTTGTATAACCAACCTGCTCACCGTGGTGGACAGATGGACAACACTCTTCGATCTCGAAACGAAGATTGACGTCATGCACACTGATTTTCCAAAAGCTTTTGATGAGACCAATCATACTTCTTACCAATAGGCTCAAGCGATTAGGTATCGAGCCGCCATTAGTTGATTGGCTTCACTTTATATTCAAATAATCGGTTTTTAAGCTCAGGGTAAACCTAACTTTTTCTTACTCTACAGAATATCTTGGTGTGGTTCGACACTAATGGCTCTTCTCTTGGTTTATATAAATGACCTTCTTCATCAAGTATCGTGAAATTCGACACTTTTTGCTGATGTTATGAAACTCTGGAGAGAGCTTTGCGACCAAGGGGAGGATCTGGCAGACAACAACGAAATTACCTTCAGAATTTCAAAGTGTTAAGTAATACATCTGAAGCATTTCGAAGGCTACGAATACAACTTAGGCAGCCCACCTCTATAGCGTTTCCTCTCTCAATCCAAAAGGATAAAAATACATTAGAATGTATCCAACGGCAAACCACGAAACCACTTATGGGGCTGAAACGCATACCTTATGAAGAGCGTCTATAATCACCGAACCTACACCCATTAGAGTATATTCGTCTCAGAGGTGACCGTCTGACGGCGTACAAAATCCTAAATGTCATTGGATGTCTCTCTAACTACCTACTTAAGCTCACTCCCAACAAAAATCTCAGGAGTAACACTCAGAAACTGTGGACACAACATAGCAAAACAAGCTGTAAGCACACATTCTACTCGTCAAGAGTAGTCAGCTTCTGGGATTCACTGACATCTGAAATCGTCCAAGCGACTTCCCAGGAGTCTTTCAAGAAAAACCTTGACGCATACTTAAGGACTAAAGACAGTTTCTAGCTATAATTAACTATTTTTCCCTTTTGTCGTTAAATATATCTCGGTTCTTACATGGCGGCATAGGAGATTCACTGTTAACAATTACGTCAGAGCTATGAGCTGAGGCTTCGTCTATTCCATCCAGAACCATTTGAACCATTTTAGTTTGAGTCTTAATGGAAGCGAGACCTACTTTAGAATCAATTTTACTGACAGAATTTCTGACTCTAAGTACAGTACACAGAAACTTTGATCCTTTCTCCGCGAAAAGCTCTCAATACTGATAGTGAGATATTAATAGTAATTGAATTTACGACAACAGAAGTCTATGATATGGTGTGATCAGGATTTGGATTTGCTTAAAGTGGGCATGATTTAAACCAAGCACCAAAGTAGGTCAACAATTGCAAGAAGGGAAAGAAGTATCCTCAAGTTTTCAAAGTACGTACAAACAAATTAAATTTTCAGGAACTAAAATTTCAACAATACATTCAGACATGTGAAAAATGAAGCCACCACATTTATGCCCTTGAAATGACCTCAAAGTGCTCACAGCTGATAACTATTACGTGGACGAATAGAAGTATGGCAATCTTTTAAAAAAATATAAATCCCCTAAACATATGCTGACTTTGTATACTTTAAAGTTTATTCATGTCCCGCGTATAATACCAGTGTTAAAATTTAATCATGTTAGGAAAAATAGAAGTTCCCTTATATCGAAATGCTAAATTCATTGACTTAGATTACTTTTTGAAAATATCAGAACAAAAAACGCAGGTAAGAATGTAGTTAATGAAAAGGGGCCATAATAAGTATGTCTTTTCAAAGATCGTGTAAAATTTGTATACAAACAAACTATAGTTTCATTTTGGAAAGGACAGGAGGCTTGTTGGTCGGTGTTAGTCCTGGCAATTACGGCCTCTCAGTTGATCCAACTTCCCTTTGAAAGTGTCGTAAGATGGAGCTTCAATCACATGTTGAGTTAATAAATTCCACTTGTTGATGATTTGATGAGGAAGTCGATAGTCAGCTGGCAAATAATTTGTCCTGGGCTTGTGAACTTTTTTTGAGTGTCCTCGTAAATTCTCTGTTTTAGAAGACAAGAAAAATGAGGACATGTGTAAATTTATCACCAAGTGATTTGAAAACTGTAATCATGTCAACTCTAACTCTTCGATATGACAATGGGAATAGGTTTATTTCAGCCAGTCGAGCATCATACATGAGCTTCGCTATTCCAGAAACCAGCTCAGTTATTGTCCTCTAAACTTTTTCAAAAAGCTCAGTGTCTTTTAAGTAGGGGATAGCTGCTTGTATGCAGCACTCAAGTTTTGGGTCACACGAACACTGTATACAAAGTTAAAAAGTCGGCATGATTAAACGCCTTACGTATTGACCATAGATTTCTAAAACCTTTGACGTATATCGCACTGCGATGTGCAGTAGTTTTGACTAACGATAACTCCCACGTTATTGTGTGTTTGGACAACAGGTAGCTTGTAGAGATAAATAAATCCCCAAAATAAATAGCTCTATAAATAACAAACATAGCTCGTATGTTCTCTAGATTCGCTCATAAAGAAAGTATTTTGTGTGGCCATAAATTGGCACAATCACGTATTGCTCTTCATGTAATTTGTGATACCACACTCAGACCATCTTTGCAAAGTCAAAGCTGATCACTAAAAGTCACTACCTCGCAACCATGGGCACTTGTTTTTTGATAATAGCATAAACAACTACAAACTCCTAGAATATCCCTTAAATTGAAACGATTATATGGGTGAGATTTTGCAGTGGTTATGTATTCAGCTGTAACGAAGTCATTGGTGGCCAATAATTTCATACGTAATAATACTCTGTCACTAGAGATCGTTTGATAAGTTAATGTTACTAGCTAATTGAATTATTTACTGAGGGGCATTACTTTAGTACTAAATAAAGCGTTATGTTAGTACTAAATACAGTGTTAGAGTGATCTAGATAGTTAACTAACAGGTTGATTTAACCTTTATGTGAACAGAATGAGTTTTATACGTTTGTAGTGATGCACTATCCCTCAAACAGTTAGATATCCCAATATACTTTTTTCTGTGTAAACAAATATGTTCCACCGAATAAGTCTGAGCATGTTATTCTTAAGATTTCTGTAACATTCTCTGTGGGAATTTCCACCTGGTCATGTATTTACTAATAGATCGTTTGTACTCATCTACAAACTAGTTACGAACATAGTTTACTCCTTCGATTGTTAACTCACTGAATTATAACTTTTAAAGCCTCATTCTTCATTCTGCTAATCCACTTAGATAGATAAAATTCCCATCTCTCAAGCTATTTATTTACTTCACGACATTTTCATTTACATGAATAGTATGATTGTTCTTTGAATACAATAGATCCTTCTTATAACAGTCACCTCCATTAAAATCGATAAGATATAGGTATGTAGATTATTTTCAATACTTTGTAGACAGTAAATGTATATTTAAGGTAACTGAGTTCTCTGGGAGAATTCACCATCTGTCTTTATTACTATTATTTCAGCTTGTCATTTTCTGAATTTTAATCTGTTACCTTCTAAAGAGTAAACCTGACCTCTGTTCTTGTTCAAATGGAAAAGGAAAACATGGACTCAAACAAACAAAGTTACTGTCCATAATAACAAAATGTCCTGTAGGCACTTGATTAACTCTCCTATCCCAAAATTAATGGTATGTGGTTGAGCAAAACGGATGATCTTATTACATTCTTTAGTGCTGATTGACGTAACATGCTCAAAATTCCTGAAACAATGTCAATAAAGAAATTTAACTTGCCAGATTTTTCATATGGGGATGAAATTGATTATTATGTTGTATCACCAACAATATTGCAGTTAGATCATCAAGAAATCGTTGAAACAGACCATTCATCTGACAATCGTCTATTGAATAGTGATTCAGTAACTGAGACAGCTACTACTAATTCATATCTCGGTACGTATTGAACTATATTCAAACTGTTTATATTGGGATTTCTATGTTGTTTGATATTAACGCGTTGGTGGATAGGTTAATCCAGACAGAACGATACATAAATTAAATATTGTTTTACGTTCAAAACTGTTCAACAGATAAATGTTACCGTGTGATTCAAATGTACCGTGATAACCTTTTATTTACGACAGATACTAACTCCAAGCATAGTTAAAATACTGACTTAATAGTCCTTAACTCTGACTCAACAATGAACTCAGATGAATCTTGTTTTTATCAGTTATTTTTGGAGAACATCAGTAAAGGATTAATTTTCTGGAGTTTACCTTTGGATTCTGGACTTGCAACGATAGAAATTCATGTCTAGACCTTACTGGATTCATGAAGGTCGCAGTAGACAGGCTTATTCAACTGAGTTTTAATTTGAAATCCAAGGCAGTAAATTTAAAGCAAAACTAACAAAGTACCTAGTGAACATTAAAGTAATTTTCACAGTAAGATACCATGACATAATCTATAAGCAAGAAACATCAACACCGAAAGGCAAGAAAATTGTACTTAATTAATATAAATACTCAAAAGCTCACTATTCTGAGCTTCGAATATGATAAACATCGAAAGTAACTTAAGTGTAGAGGTATTTATACAGCGATCTCAAGTAACAAAATCAAAAGGGACGAAAAATCCGGCATTGTTTAAATCCAGCAAATAGACTAGGATTAAAATATCCGTTAGTGAAACTATGATGGAAAACGACAACAGTAATCCGTTTTTAATCTGGACGATTAAAATGACAAAAGATTGACGGATAGTCCATTTGGCCTTTAGCTACTCATAATCCAACGGCTTGAAAAGATGATTAAAATTGGGTTTCCATGTCTTAGCGGCTATGGAAACTGTTGTAGCTTTCTTCCAATGTCATTCAGTATTTCATGTCTTTACAATTGTTTGGTCACTTGATAGTGATCAATGTAATGCGTGTAAGGTCCTTCGTAGTTCAAATCGAGTTCTGTCGTATTTATTATTTATTTACTTATTTGAACACGTAAATATTGGAACAAGAGAGCACCAAATATATATGCGCCACACAAAGCAATGAGAATTAGAAGAGAAAAAAACAATAACGAACAGATTAGTGTAAGGTAGTGTAATAATAACAATAATAATGGGGAAACGGAAAGGTACAACCAGAAGAAATCTTTTAGTTAAGGAAGATAAAACCACTTTTTTCATGAAGAAAGTAAAAGAAGGGTACAACAGGATCGCCACTGGCTTCTATTCTGAGCCATATCTGGTAACGTCTTTAGCCACTGTGTCGCACCATCTCTAGGACCCCAGCCAGGGAGTCGTGAAGGACCAACACAAGCCAGCCCTTTGAAGCTTTCTTTCATACACCGACCACCCCTCCGCTTTTTCCAACCAGTCCCAGCATCGACAAATAATGCACGACGTGGAATTCTCTGGGACGATATTCATAGAACATGTCCAAGCCAACGGAGTCGGTGTTTCAAGATGGTGACACCAATCGCATTATCATCTCTGTGCCCGAACACACGATGCCGAACCTCTTCGTTACTAACATGGTGTTGCCACTGGATGTCAGCAGTCCTTCGGAGACAATGACGATCAAACACAGAGTCGTCTAACATCCTCAACTCGGAGAGGCCAGGTTTCACAAGCATAGAGCAAAACTGCTCTCACCGGCGCGTTGTCTATCCAACCTTTTACAGCCAGACTGACATCACGAAGGCGCCAAAGGTGGCCCAGATTGGCATAAGCCGCTCTGGCTTTCACTATACGTACATTGATCTCATCACTCACACCACCACCAGCACTTATGCAGCTACCTAGATACACGAACTTCTCGACTACTTCTATCTGCTCACCATCCAGAGTGAGTACAGGATTGGAATTCTGCCAGTCTTGTAGAAGTATTTTGCACTTCGAAGGTGCAAAGCACATACCATGCCTACGGACACTGATTGCCAACTGATTAAGTGCGGATTGCATGCCTTGTGGATTATCGCACAGTAAGACAATATCATCCGCACACTCAAGGTTGAGAAGTCTTTCTCCAGGCAACAGATCCACACCACCATTAATTACATTCATCAGAGCTGTTTCCAGAATGTCATCGATGGCAAAGTTGAAGAGGAATGGTGAGATTGGACAACCCTGCCTAACCCCACTGCTCGAATGGAACAATGGAGAGAGGTGGTTGTATGCTCTCACTCTGCCTGAGGTGTTTTTATATAGGGCCTTTAAGATGTTAATAAGCTTCTTAGGTACACATTTCTTCAATAGACAATCCCAGAGAACAGTCCTGTCCAACGAATCGAAGGCAGCCTCGATGTCAAGAAATACTACGATTGTTGGCCTTTGACAATTATGACGGTATTCTAACATTTGGCGGAAGATGAAGATATGATCAGCATATCCCCGACCAGAACAGAAACCGGCGTGCTTCTCGCGAGTCAATCTTTCTCGAGTTTTGAACAATCTACAAAGTATGACGGAAACCAATAGCTTGAACGCAATCGGAAGTAGACTTATCCCCCGATAGTTGTTACAGGAACAAAGTGAACCCTTTTTAAAGATAGGGACAACTATCGACTCATTCCATGACGTTGGTACACTCTCTAGTTTTTAGACCTTTGTAAACAACGTCCTCAGTTTCTTAGCCAGAAAGTCACCACCATCTTTAAAAAGGGCCTGAGGTAAGTCATCCGGGCCCGGTGATTTGTAGCGTTTCAAGAGTTGGAGTTCCTTGCGGACTTCCGCCTCATTTGGTGGATCAGTCGTCACTGGCCATGGAGGGCAGAACGGTCCGACCGATGTTACTGGAGCAACAGGTCAGTTGAACTGCTCTTCGAAGAATTCTACCCATCGTCCAAGACGTCGATGGATGTTAGTGATTGGCATCCCATCATCCTCGCAGATTGTTTCGCTCACACCAGACTTCTTGCTGCCAGTGGCCCGGATGAGCTGGAAGAGCTTCCGGTAGTTACCAGATGCAGCTGCTGCTTCCAGCTCATTAACATGTTCCGATCACCAGGCTTCTCGGTCCTTACGCAAGCTTTCCCGATTTGATTACGTAACATCCTTTGTTTGTGGTCAAACTCACAGTCACCCGGAGTAGACCGACGGGCTTCAATAAGTTGTAAGGAACCAGAAAAAACCCAGTGCTTATAAGCGCGACGTTTCGCAAACCCACAACTGACTGTTCCCGCCATTTTCATGGCGTCATGCAATTGCAACCAATGCTCATCTATACTTTTCGGTGGAGTGGTAGCTAGCCTAGAGGCTAGCTCAGTTCGATACCTATTTGCAACAGAAATTGCAACCAACTTGCTGACATCAATCCTTTGGAGGCGGCCACTTCGTTTGACCACTGAAAAGTAAGGTAAGATTGGCGCAGACCACGGCATGATCAGAGTCCAGATAGGTACTTCAAAAGGAGCAGCAGTCTTGTACACAACCACGCCAGCAGTAGCTGATCGCGATGTGATCAATCTGAGTCCAGGCTTAAGATGCAGAGGGAAGACGCCAGGTGCAACATCAGTGATGACTGTGCCGAAAGTTAGTTCTAGCCGGAAACAGGTTATGGTCTGTGCACAGTTGCAGTAGACGGACCCCGTTATCTGTCCTGCGACCAACAAGTCCCCATCGGCCACCTAAACGACTCTCTTCTGTACCTAGATGCCCGACCTGAGCATTCAAGTCTCCGGCTAGTACTACAATACCTGTCGAACGCACTTTCTGGAGAAGAACAGATAACTGGTGGTAAAACTCATCCTTGATTGCAGCTGGGCTTCAATATGTCGGGGCATAGGCGGAGATGACGAAAAGACATCGTTTCTCACGCCGATTTCTTCCCACTTTGCTGGAACTTTCTAATCTAACAGCACATAACCGACTGTTAATGGGGATCCAATCGACTAGTGCTGCCTCAGCTCTAGCGCTTAGTGCGACACCAACACCAGCAAGACCAGACGAAGATGCCACAGGGTCCCCGGATAAGCGCACGTAAAACAAGCTTTTCAAAGCGACAGATGAAGAGCGAATTTGTAGTACTTCACCAGAGTCTTGAATACGGGTCTCGGATAGACAGCAAACGTCGATATTAATACTTTCCAAAGACATAGCCAGCTCTATATGTTGTCCGACCTGCATAAGGTACGAACGTTGAAGGCAGCGAGTTTGAATGGTGCACGTGGTTTCAGGAAAACTGCTTCAGTACTCATATTTGGTGGTAACATACAATTTTCAACCGGACAGTGACTCAAGAACGTTTATATAGAACCGAGTTTCCACCATAGGCGAGCTGCTGTATAAGTCGAAAAGTAAAGATAGACAGAGTGGGAATAAAAGAGAGTGAATAAACGACGTAGTAAATAATAATAATAATAATGTTAATCGTTTGATTGTTGATCGAAGCAAGACAAATATTTTCCATAAATATCGACATTTCATCATATTTTTGTGTGGGCTGTGATACTACCCGGGTGCCCAGACCGGAGCAGGTAGTTTTCTTAGGGGGCCACACCCCGAGCATTTGACCTAAAGGTCTGACCCACAAGGCAGTGAAGCATCGTGAGGAGATGCAGTCCCATGGTAGCCAGTGACCGATGATTGGTTCACACGGCATTTGTTCCCTCAGGATACTGGAGTCCATGTGCACCATTGGTTTGGGATCCGGTTAAAGCGCCGGACATTCGCTTTTCGTCCTCTCATTTTCGTAAACAACACCCACGTCACGAGAAGGCAGTGAGTAGGACTTCCCTGGCAGAGGCTGTATACGCGTAGCCGTATGAGAGCATTTCGAGAGGGAAGGCAAGCCCACTCCACTCTCGGTCATACCAGGTCATTTGGGGGCGTATATATCTTTTGCGTTTTACTAAAGAGTTCTATCGACCAAGTTGCAATGCGACTACTAGCCTAGGTGACTTGACATTTCGTGGATTATGTTGAGATGAGATGATAGTTGGAGGTGGTCGACAGAAAACCCTGAATCTAGGTTTCGTGCTATTTGGAGCTCATCAGCAAGATGTACCTGTAATATATATATATATAACTAGATGCTACTGAAAAATTTGAATCGAATGACGCAAGTATGAACACTAAGGTCACAGATAGAGATGTGTTTGACAACCAAAATAAATCGGAATGTCATCTGAATACACTGATCACTAGTCATATTTAAATACATTAGACCGAGTAGGGCTTTTCATTAATTAATCAATATCAAATAGAAATATAAAGCATAATTGTCAACCCGAAGAATTTAGGAAGATAAAGAAGAGAAAACAAACTTGGTTCATAGTCTTTGATACGTATCCATATTATATTATTTATTTTTTAACACGTTTTTGTTTTCTCTCCTTTTTACCTTGATATATATTTTTTAAAATTTAACCATTAATTTACTGAATAATCATTAATATTACAATATCATAGATCTCACTCAAAACAATTCCTTATTCATCATATCTAGTAACTATTATAATTTTTTCCGTTAGATTTAGGATTAAATAAAGAAGCTGATTATCTATTCTCATTTGAATTAGATACTAATACACTTCCGTTAGAATTATTGAATAAAGATTTAGATACTCCAGATTTTAATTGGACAGATTTATTACCCGACTCTAATGAATTAGTATCTCTGGACGATATTAATCCTGGTAATTTTTCAAAATCTAAACAAATTAAAAATGAGAAAGTGAAGTTTACCAATTGTCAAAGAAAATCTTTGATTAATCATTTTAATCCAATACCAAAATTTTCATATCAAGAGAAAACTATTCAACAACAAGAACTTTTATATTCATCATCATCAACTCATAGTTCTTCAAGTTCTGTCAATAACCATCATCATTGTCATCAATTGTTGAATTCAACGGAAATTAATAATGAGTGTGATATGAATGATTCTTATAAAACTAATAAAATAATTTGTCTAAATAATGAAGACTTACTAAATGGTAAACCTGTGAGTATTCGAGTTTGTTCTTTTGTTTGTTTTATTTCTCATTCAGTGTTTAATTTTTTCTTCTTCATATGAGTAGAAATACAATAAGCTTGTCAGTCATAAACAGTTCAGAACCAGGTACGAATATGCATCGATATAAGTCGTTGTACTTGGGATTAGTGCAATCAGATTTTTATTGACAAGATAAATAGCAAATTAGTCAAAATCGTAGTATTATTAGGAACAGGATGAAAGGTTAAATACTAAAAATGTGATTAAAAATAAGGAATGAATTTGTTGAATATAAAGTATAAAATTATGTTATGACTAAAGGTCTCTAACAAAACAAATAGTGCACCTTTGTCATTGTTACCGATTACGAGCCATGTAACTTTTCTCCAACTTCTTGTCAATGTTATAACAAGGACTTCAACTAGGTAATGTTCATCTGATATCATAGGTTAGACCAACAGTTAATAATTTCATGAACGAATGCAAAGTCTTGGTTTAACTACTGCCAGTTTTATTACAATATGCTCGTGAACCATCCATCATTCCACTGTAAGGCAGATAGATATTGGTTCGTAAAGCGTAACACATATCTTACTGTTTTTTTCTTCTATTAATATGTGAGCCAATACGATTTGATTAAATTTTTAATGATATTCCCTGGCTAAGCCCTGTAGCACTTTGTCGTTTTGCAGTTCCAAGCTAATGGAACTTGTCGCAACGCTAATTCCATTTCCAAGGAGACATTTCAATTCTTATGTTCTCTTATTCTGAGTTATGTTATTACTTTGAATCTATTTAAACTCTTTTAAGTTGATTATCTTCGTAGGTTTAATTCCACTACTAATACTATCAGTTTAACAAACACAGCACATTAGAATAATCCGTTGAAGTGTATGCGTAGCACATTCATCAATCTTATCAGTTGGCATGGATTCACGACCTTGTTAAGTGTTTTATTTCTCTAATATTAGTCACTCGTTTATTCTACCACTTGCTACGAACGATTTCAAATCTTATCTTAAATAACTCATTTTGTTATCGAATTGGCTATCATTTGACCTATTGCGTAGTTATTTATGACAATTCTTATCTTTACTTATTCATTTCACAGGGAGAATGCGTTAAATTAACTTCAGAAGAATATAAAATGCTCCAACAAATCGGTTGTCAACTACCTATCAAATTTCCATTAAGTCAAACTAATGAAAAAGCAATACGTTCTGTCAGACGAAAAATTCGTAATAAACTCTCTGCTCAAGCTAGTCGTGCCAAACGTCAAAAGTATGTGATTGATTTAGAACGTCGGTATTCTATGTGTACTGAAGAAATCAAGCAATTACGTCGACAAGTATATGAATTGGAGGAAGATAAACGGTAATTCTTTTAAATAATCAGTTAATACGTGTTAGCTTAGGGTGTTTTCGGATATCACTTAATTTTATGGTTCACATCATGTTCTGACCTTGGTTAAACAACCACCGAAAAAGAGCTGTAAATAGCCGTTGTATCGTAGCATAATCCTCCTCCGCATTGCGCATCCACGACCATACTATACATCTGACTCAGGACCTACAGTTTTACAAGCGAACCACTGAGCAGGTGATGTAGTACGACGATTGTGAACTGTTTGAATTTGCAGTTTCATCTCATTAGACTCTAATAGTCAAGTGCTCACAGTGAAACTTGTGGGTCCTAATTGTGCATTATTGAAAAGTTTCATACTGGAACGAAACCGTTTTCCGGTGCTCTCTGGTTTTGACTGGTTGTCTAACTAAGGTCAGTCGGTGATGTAATCAATATGTATGCTTCAAACTATTTGCGCATTTAATTTTTTTAACACCTTTCTGGAGATAGAATGTCCAGAGAATAGGCCTACCAGTCAAGTCTTAATTGATTAGAGAATGAATGACCTAAAAGCTAATTTCCTCCGATCACCCATGACATTTCATCATGTTTATTTTGTGTTCATTTTTTTTCATATAAGCGTGTTATTTTATTGAATGAAAAAAGTTATTTATCTGGCTAGTATTAGTTTTGTCTTTGATTTATAATTATTTGGGGACGTAAGTCAATAATGCGGTCTCGTCAGTAGCCATCACTCATCACATTATATTATTGTGTTCATCTATCGATTAGCATTATACACACTGATTTTAACAATCGAAAGTTTCTTCCAGTCGAATCACAAAATACCTCCATAACGTTGGGTCATTTTGTGTAACGTTCAATTAATTTAAAATCTATTGTGTTATTATAAAACATAACTATAGGCAGAAGGAATGTATGTTTATTGCGAGAAGCTACAAAATATTTACATAATACATATACGTAGCCTTCAACCTTCCATTTATATTGTTGTGGATGCGGAAGGATAGATCAATAATTATCACGTTAAGTCCAACGGTGTCCTTGGACTTTAAATGAACATTTCCTACGGGTCGATATCTGTTCACTTGTTGAATATGGTACAAAATGTTGTTTTCTATTTTTATGGTACGATGTGGTATGTTTGGTTAGTATATAAATAGAATATGTCTGAAATACAATGATTCATAACTCAGAGGCTGAGATTTGTGTTCTGGACTCAACTGGCTGGGATAGACAGGGAATCGGGACCAATCGTAACTCTAGGTCGTCCATTACGTTCGTACGTGTTTACGTGTCATTGAATCGGTCGATAAATACGCTGCTCTCTAGTTTTTTTCAGTCAAGGACACAACAATTAGCACAGGGTAAAAATCGACCCAACTTAAAGTCACAACATATATCTTGTCGTGTTTTCTGCCATCTGAACTGCTTTCTCGTCTGGTTTCCAAGTGTCATGCAAATGCCGTTCTTCCTTTGTACTAAAATTCTTCACGACTGTTGCAATTTCGACGCCACGTTCAACTACACACTATCTACAAACATCCATGTGATTAGCATCCACTACGTTATTACTATTCTTCACTATTTTTTTTAAACAAAATATCTAACTAGCGTTTCAGATTAGAAAGATTAATTGTATGTATGTTTTTTAAGCTAACAACCACTTATGATTGAATTGGTTATTCACTGTAAAGTAGTACTTTGTCGTTTGATAAGTTGTACAGTGAGTGTATTGCCAATGTAATAAACTAAACATGATAGACCATTTAACTTCATTTGAGCCTTCTATTTCACTACATCTTTTTCATTTTTTCCAGTTTTACATCACTTCTCATAATCCTGTTTATTTAGAATTGTAATTGTAATCACTAGTAAGACTGTATGAAAAATGATTAGACTAAAAATGTTAACTCATTTTAAATAGTACCCAAACATTTAGAAAATATCTGTCTTTCAAGCTAACTTAAAACATCAGAAGTTGGCACCTAGTGTTTGAAAAACCTCCTAACCAGTTTAACGCATATAATGATTTAGATGGATTTTAACTAGAGTATAATCAAGGGATAAATTTTGTCACCAACGGAATGGCTTCACCAAGGTACATTTTTTGTGATATTTCAATGTTAGCTGGGCACTTGAATGTGTAGGTTTGGCGCCTAGACACAGCGAAGCATCATTTGACTGACCGATGCGGGTATTTTTCGGTTAGATAACAGAGAATATGTTCTGTAGCCTTATAGAGAATAAAGAAATGTTTTTAGATAGCATTAAGTTTTGATGCAATCTTCATATATGCTACCTGGAGATATCTCTCTGAAATTTAGACTTAGATTCAAATAAATTATAAAGAATTGAACAATCATCGAAACGTAAACCTACTATCACTTGACTATGAAGTATTGTCTGTGCTATGCTACATAAATTATGCAAAATGTACATAAACAAATGATTCACAAGATATAAAACAGGTTTTTTCAGGTTGTACGTGTAGATTGATCCGTTAAGCACTTAAATCCAGTCACAAGTAATCTGTGCCGAAAAGATATTGCTTGAGCATAATAAAAGCTGATAGTCAATCAGTGATTATACTAGCTTCAAGCATCAACTCCAGGGACCTAAGTAACAGCAGTGACATTGATCTCTTCCCCTAAGAATAGGTGGATAAAATAAGGCGGTGATCAATTTGATGTGTGCCATAAATCTGCGCAATACAAAGTAGTTATGTTGGGTTATAGACTCCAACGAATTTAGAATTTCAGACTTTGGGGAAGACACAGGACGGATGAGCCTGCACCATTGCAAACTATTTTGCGTCATATCATTCATAGTCTCTAACTATTGGTTACGATATTCACGCGGACCCCAATCAAGTAGTTTACATCTATGAACATGGATAAGTTCAATTGTCAACGACTTCAGAAATTAATGCCATGTTTTGGTTTGACCGCCCCTAACTTTCTTCCAACCTACTCCTACACCAGAAAACATAGCCAGTCAAGACAGGCAGTGGTTGGACATACGTAACACATATCCCAACCACCTCAGTTGATGAAGATTTACTACCTCACCAATCGAATTCCCACCTTTACTTAACTCAGGCCTTGCTTACTGTGTGGTCCCAAAATGCACGAGCAGTGTTTCGTAGACACCTATAGAGTGTTATTCTCAAAGCATATCTGTAACGAAGTTAAATAAAAATGGAGAAAGCGGACAACTCTGACGAACACCACTTCAATTAACTGATTCCGATGAAAGTTTACCATAAAGTCTGAATCGACCAGTGGTGTTCGAATAAAGAGAGTCTGCACAAAGTTGATGTACATATTTTGTACACCTTTGAATGAAAAACACTGCTACAAAACCTTACAATCAATGGAGTCAAACACCACCTTAAGGTCAAGGAATATAGCTATAATCGGACGTCGAAAAATATCCCTATGTTTCAGAACCTGCCGAATGGTGAATATTATGTATGCATATATAAACTCTCAAACTAATTTCTCCCTGAATTTTTATCTCATATTCATTTGTGGCAATTTTTCCTGTGCAACATTCATCTGAAATTATCTAACAGAAAATTTCCAGCCAGTCATAATTTTATCATCTTCACCAGTATATAATCGGTTTTATTTGATGATTGTTTACCTTTCTTTTTACGTTTTCGATCCATAAAGCAAATCATCATTATAAATATAAACAAATTTGTCAAACACTATTTAATTTCTGTTCTTTTTTTTTCATATTTCCACTTGACAAACAGTTGATAAAATTAATGCAGTGCACATATTGTTAAGTCACTTAGACTAGTGGGCAGATTGCAATTTGATCGATAGAATCTAACCAACTCTAAAGGACTAGACAAGCATGGTATTAATTACCACTCACTTCTACATACCTATGCATAAAATTGTGAGGATTGGTGATTGAAAGTAGTCGACAGGATCTCTTACTTCATTTAGGTTTCATGCTTGTTGAGGCTTGTAAGCAAATGTTTTTATTAAGTGCAATAATTCTGACCAATTCAATTATAAGTGAAATGGTTTTTAAGATTTATTAAGTTTTAAAAGTAATTTATTATCATGAACTGATATCAAATAATGAAAACACATGAAAAATCTGAAATTATTGAATAACCTCTGTTGTCATTCGAATTTAAGACCATTCTTTCCGTATACTTAGTTTTATATTTGAATGTTGCTAATGGATAAAATGATTCTTTTCTACTGCTTAAATTGTTGTAGACGTAATAAATTTGTAATTTAGTGATTGACTGTACTGACTATCAGAGAAGGAGGCAAGGGAATAGAAACTATACAAGTCAAGCAGTTTTTTTTTCATGTGAATCAGTTCATGTATTTTTATATACATATTTCTCAAACATATAATTGGTTTATGATACAATTCTACAGCCTTAGTTCTAAGTATTGTTTTACGACCCTTCATTCTTAATATTTCTCTTAGTACTGTTCACAAATTGCAGTTAATCAGATATGAGTGAATTGCTCATATTCGTGTAGTATTTGATGCATACCTACATATTTTGATTCATTAATAGCATATCCCATAGCTTGGAATCTAAGTATGTAATCACTTTTTGAATACTTAGTGTACTCTAGACTAAATATTGCTCATCGGAAGAACGTATCCAAGGTCGATGACAGTCAAAAGACTCTCTTCACCCATCAAAATATTTATATATAAACATATATAAATAGTAAATAGTTCTACAATAAATAATGGTTAGTTTAGGTTACAAAGAACACATTCAAAGTGATAAACTCAGCAGAAACAGTCTACTCTTGGCTCTGAGAATTCAGTACATCCAAACAGGTAAAGTTTACCAACCAATAAGAGAACAGTCAGTTTATGATTAACCGAAGAAATCAGACTACTTACTCATGAATAGTAGTCAGAATAAGCGAATCACACTACCATCCATTTAGCTTTAAGATGTCCTGATTAGTAAATTTTGTAATGTATAAATTATTTATATTTACGGTAATCGGCTCAATGGAATTGTTAATTATATAAGTGTGACATTGCAACACTTAAGCATTTTATTTTACAACTGGTTATTTAATGTAATTTTTGCGTTTGTTTTTGCTTTTCTCTACTTTATATCAGGAGTCTTACAATACATTTACGCAAATTACGGTCTTATATCAATAAATTCATGAATAAACGAAGTGAAAAGTCCTATTTACCACTATTCGTGAACTCTGACAATACTGAATTTAATCATCATAATAATAAGGTGACTGCTAAACAAGCCGCTAAAGCGGCAGCCGGTGGAACTAGTCTCTTGTTAATGACGTTTATGATATTGATGTGGACTGCTGTAGTTCCAATACCGTCGGTCATAAAAACGTTAGATACTGCATCATCGATGTCTACAAGAAATTTTTTCAGTTCATTTCCAGGTTAGCATTCAATTTTATTATGTGTGCATATGTGTTTTTTGTCTTGTCTATTCGTAATGTATCTTCATCACCTATTGTCTCATCTGTTTTGAGATAAATGTGAAGTGATCAATGGTGATTAGCTATTGAGTCACCAGCTTGAACTTAAGTCGCTTCATTCAATTCGGATTTAAATTATCGGTTAGTATCACTTACACGCAAACCAATTATGTGTATAAATATATTTACAACAGCCTTAATAATGAGGTCAAAATCAGTAGTATATTAAAGAATTAACAAAACTAGCGAAGAAAAATATTTTAGAAGTTGGCCGCTAGGGTCAAGTACACATAGTGTGAGAACATATGGTTGTGAGAAACCCCTTAATATAATACAAGCAAATTACCAAAAAGTTATATGATATAACTTGATTTTGTAAATTTCCTCGCTTCCCCAACTAAAAGCGCTTATTATATATGTATATATTTGAAAGCTCATAAACCTTTAGCGTAGTAAAGTTTAACCGGGTGGTTTCTAGGTCGACTTCAATGTAAAACTGACAATAGCTAAAGCAAAACTAGAAAGTATTGAACATATGTTATTTTATCATATGCTCGGTACTTTTCAACAATTCATACCGAAGTCAACGGCTTTGTATGATACAATCAAAGTCATAACTTTCAGTACTTATAGCAGCGACAATACTTCTTAGTTATCGAAACCCATTAGATTCTACATTTTTAATTCTTATTAATTCGGTGATATATTATACGACTTTCATTTAGTATCATTAGTACTCTTTACTGTATCACTTATTAATTGGTTAACTTTGCAGATCTTGACATGCCACTACAATTCTGTGAGTGGAGAGGTGGCTCAGTGTTTAAGGCATTCAACTTTCAGTCACTAAGTTGTGATTCGAAATACCACTCCACCTACTTCGGTTTGCACAAACCGATAATATCACTCAGCCTTGACATCAGAGTGATTGAATGTAAATTATACTAATTTTTACCTACTTTTTTTATTAAGGTGACAGGTATATCATCTATGTAAACTTTCTTTTTGTTTGGAATGCTGTTGACAAGAAACGGAAGGAATTATTCGCTCAAGATTCTTTTTTGAGCCAAAAAGGATAAGTGTATTCATTACATTTTTATATATTCCATTGTATCGTAAAAAACAGCAAAAAGAAAACTATGGAATGTGGGAATACACGACTAATCCACCTTAACTTACAGAGAAAATTATATCTATTTACTTTCATAATTTGTTTCAATGTATGTGAATGATGATATCACATTCAATTCTATCCGTTAATCAGTTTATAAACATCTAACTACACACATACATGAACTTTGGATAAGTTTAGCTTCACGTTCTCAAATAATCTCAACAGCAGATTAAGTTATCTAAGATTTATTGACAACTTCAATAAGTATTTTTCAGTTGTTTTTTTTTATCCAAGACTAATAACTAATAATATACATGTATTTTTGTTGTTTTCTTTTAACCATCTAATTAGGTCGGTCTCGAATGCTGATGAGTATTAACAACCCTCCAGAATTGTATTCTTCCTCCTCCTCGTCTTCTCAAGACCTAATTCTTAATGAATCAAAAACAACTTTATCCAATCCGGATATTATACCTGAGAGTACAATTCAATATATTGTTCCGATTAGTAAATTTATTACACCAGTGGTAAGTGATTTTTTATTCGTGTTTATTATGTTTTGTTTCTTTTTTTTACGAGAAAATCATGAGTTTAATGTTTAATGCTACTTAAGAATTTGTCTTCGTCGTCTCTATTGTTTTGAAGTTATTCAATCATTGCGATAGTTAAACCTGATCGTTGTATACTACACTGTATACAACTATGAAGTGGCGTAGAACCGTGATGAGGGAAAAATATGGATAGCTTTCTTTTTACCGGTGTTTCCGAAGTTTTCAATGTATCTATGTAGCTGTTGTGTCTTGTTATTGAGTTTCAGTACGGCCTATGATGTTATGGATTTAGGAACAAAAACGATTGAGTTCCTCTAATACGATTGGTTCTCTTTGGAACTGACAACAGTCAATTATACTTAACACATCAAACCTCGACGGCTAAGACAGGAAGAAGACGATATGCAGGTAACTTGACATTTGTGGTAGAACAAGCAACTCAAACAAAATTGGCACAAAAGTTGTTACTATATTAGCAGAATATGACCTTCGAGCATGTAGCAGCTTATCGAACTAAAAAAACATGGCAACCAGTTAGAGGGCAAAAGTCATACGGAAAATCGAGTGGGCAGAAATTATCGTTCCACAACAGATCTTAGCATTTCTAAGAAACCTTGACTATTCGTGCAACCATCTTAGCAGTAGCGTAAGAATCACATAGCTAACGTTTTCATTAAGCAATAAATTTCAGGGTCATCCGTTAATTTTTTTTAATCGTTTATGAACTGCACAATGATTCAGAACTTTAATCAATTTGGAAATAATCTCCTATGCACATTTCAATGTGATTGACTTATATTCATGTATCGTTTATACATGTTAAATAGTTTAGTTTGTTAAGTATGTATTTTATGTAAGACTATTTGCTTTTAACTGTTTTGCATTAATTATCAAGTGGTTTTCAAATTTTAATTTAACTTTGTGCAAAGTTAATTAATCAAGCAATTAAGTTTAAATCTGACCTATTCTATCTTAAATATTCTACAGTTTAAATGATTATTACTTTCTTCATCATTTTCAAATTAGTTATTGTTAATTTTCACACTTACTTATACTGTTTATTACAGTGTTAACAACTCTTGAATCGATTTTCCATATTTGTGCCAATTTGTAAAGCAAAATGTACTCTACGTTGTAGTGTCAGAAAATTAGTGCATGTGATTTATTAAATTCAGTAGACTAATGTTTGCTGGTGTGTGAGTAAGCTGGGGAAAAAAACTAGAGGAGAGAAAAACAAAACATAAGATCAATCCAGGAACTCATTGATTGTTCAATTAACCCTTGTCTATAGGTACAGACTATGCTTTATTAAGGTCCACTCGATTATCATAATCACTAATTGAAGATGTTTGATTGTGGTGGCATGGTTCAAAACTAATCTGAACGGTTCAGATCTATTCACTCTTTATCTTTCCTTACATCTTGAGTTACAAAATTATCTTATACTTGATATTCATCAAATTAGTTTTTGCTTCAAGATCCATATTCTATATGCCTTATGTTTTCATTCTTTACTATCACTAATGCTGTTAGCAGTTCTACTATTCTGATGCGTTTGTCTTGATAATTTCATCATACTGTATTGATGTAGTATGATAAGTTGAACCGATCCGAATATTTATCAGATTTTATGTTGTTTATGACCTACTAACTAATATAAATCATTTCATATTGACTATTAAAGAAGGCAATCCAATCACTGAAATTCAACAAAAGCGGAACAGATGGGTAGAATACTTCGAGGAACTCCTGAATAGGCCGGCTCCAATGAATCCACATCTTCTGGTGGTCAACTGGATTATGAGGACCTCGACATCTGAAGGAAAACACGGAATACAACGGACAACTCAAAATCAATTAGACGATTTGGACTTCGCAGATGACCTAGCCCTCCTATCGCATACACACGAACAGATGCAAAGACAGTCAGTGTAGCAGCAGTCTCTGCATCAATAGGCCTCAGCATACGCAAAGGGAAAACCAAGGTCCTCAAATTCAGGGCGGAGAACAGCAATCATACCACTCTTGATGGCGAAACTCTGGAAAATGTAGAATCCTTCACATACCTAGGAAGCATCATCGATGAATAAGGAGGCTCAGATGCAGACGTAAAGGCAAGGATTGGCAAAGCAAGGATAGCATTCGTACAATTGAAGAACATATGGAACTCAAAACTACTTTCAACCAATATCAAAGTGAGAATCTTCAATACCAACATCAAGGCAGTTCTACTGTATGGAGCTGAAACTTGGAGAACTACAACAACCACCATCAAGAAGGTACAAGTATTTATAAATAGCTGTCTTCGCAAGATACTCAACATCCATTGGCCGGATACCATCAGCAATAGCCGTCTGTGGGAAAGAACAAATCAGCTTCCAGCTGAAGAAGAAATTAGGAAAAGACGATGGAAATGGATAGGACATACATTACGCAAATCGTCAAACTGCATCACGAGACGAGCCCTAACTTGGAATCCTGAAGGAATGCGGAAAAGTTGAAGGCCAAAGAACACATTACATCAGGAAATAGAATCAGACATGAAGAGAATGAATAACAACTAGAAAGAGCTGGAAAGTATTGCCCAGGACAGGGTTGGATGGAGAATGCTGGTGAGCGGCCTATACTCCTTCACGAGGAGTAACAGGCGTAAGTAAGTAAGTATATTGACTATTATGCATAATTCTAATCATAATCATTCAATAATGTTTTATTTTATTTATTTTCATTTGAAAGATTACTGAACACTAATGAATAATCTATCAGAAATTAATTTACATTTATAACTAATATTTTTACACCACAATTATCCATCCATATAAAGTGCCCAAGCCAAACACAAAATCAATATTCTCTAAACAGTAAAATTGACGTTAATAATAAATAATTCCAAAGAGAGAATGAGAGAGAGAGAGAGAGAGAGAAAAAAAAAGAGGAAAATAGTTGAATCAAATGAAGCAATCAATGATACTTTCAACAATAACAAAAAAAAAAGAATAAAGAAATAAAAAAGATAAAGAAAAGATTATCTTATCTCTTTTTTTTTTCTATTAATTTCATTCTTATTTAATATTGTCATAGAGTCCATTACCATTTATATTATGTATGTTTAAACAATAATAATAATTAATCATATTTTGATTTATATATAAATATGAAAAAAAAAGTTTTTTTTCTTTTTTCTTGATAATAAATATACTTCAATTCATTAATTTTTATGTTGTTGTTCCGTTTTTTCTTCTCTCTTCTTTTTTTTTATTACTCTTATTAAAAATAAGTCAGTAAAACCGGACAATATTGTTAGTGATTACGTTGATTATTATCTAAACGATATAATTCATATTTTGAAAATAATTACAAAGTGCTTACTGATTTACAAGCATAATCAAGGTTAATAATAATAATAATAGAAATGGAACCAGCATTCTCCAACCCATTCTGTCCTGGGCCTCCTTTTCTAATTCCATTCAATTCTTGTTCATCTTTTTCATGTCTATTTCCATTTCTCGGCGTAATGTGTTGTTTGATCTTCCTCTTTTCCTTTGACCTTGAGGATTCCATGTGAGGGCTTGTCTTGTGACGCAGTTGGGTGCTTTCCTCAATGTGTGTCCTATCCACTTCCAGCGTTTCTTCCTGATTTCTTCCTTCGCTGGGATCTGGTTTGTTCTCTCCCACAGTACGTTGTTACTAATACTGTCCGGCCAACGGATCTGAAGTATACTAGAATGATTAGGTTGATACAAAATGAGAGGGAACATCAATGGTATATTATTTAAAAAGACTTTTTTAATTGAATATTTATTATAAAAATTTTAAGAATGTAAAATATACTATATAGATGAAATGCATAATTTGAGGTATATTATTTTAATGTACAACATTATTATCAGAGTATACAACGTAATCAACATCAATTTTGTAATTATAGATAAATCTGTAATCAAGAATGTAACATGGACATATGTTCAATGGCATTGTCACAACTTTATGAGAGTTTTATAATGATAAATATCGCATACAGTGCAACAGTCAGAAATTAGTATTTTCTTGGTATAAGGATTGTTATGTCATGTTTGAAAAAGTGCAATTTGGTGATGAATGATTCCAACTCTGTTAAAGGGTACTTATAGTCATCTACAATTAGAAGCAAACTGAATGAAAATGAAAAAAAAAACATGGAATAACAAGGTAAATTCTTGTGATAGGTCTATTGTCATTATGTTCTTGATTGTTTCATGACATACAGATCTAGATAAAAAAAATTATCTGAACCAACCAACTGTTCTGTATATATCCTTACAAAAACGAAAGGTCTGTCATAGTTAGGATGAGACCTGAAACTAACCAGAAATAATTTAACCTTGTAATAAAATCAGCATGAAGGAAATTTTGACAAGTATTCTCTATAATAACAATTTCCACCTATTTAAAGTCCCTATAATTTCACTGATGAAGTGACATATTCTTCAATTTAAGGAATTTTAAGTTAGTATAAGAAAAGAGGAAATTATCGACGTGTCGTTTAGACATTGGTAGTGAATTCGTTTCATGGATAAATTGTGACAAATTATTCCAGACTCGCAAGTAAACTGGTCAGTTAATTTGTACGAATATTCGTCAATATTAGATCGAATAGCTTGACGAAAATTGGCCTCCGAGTATAGAGAAGTCATTATACCTAAAATTCACATTTGAACTAATCTCAGCGATTGAAATTTAAATTATCCCAGCGTTTCGTCCAGCAAACTTGTCTGGATTTCTTCAGGGTAATAATCAAAGATATATATAGCGCTAATCCAGTCATATTCGGATCTTGACTTTAGTAAGCAGGCTAACAGTTGAATGCGAATCATGTGAAAATAAATGACTGAACAAATTGTGTGTGCATGTATGCGTAAGATTGAATTATTAATAGTTGATACTAAGTGTTAATTTGTTTGTATATGAAGGAAAGATTAAAGTGCAAGTTGAAGGTTAAAAAATTGTTTCTGAATCGTCGATGTGAAAGTAAAATGCGAATTATTAAATGCAATTTCACTGGTTGAAATCATGAGTCAATTGAAGTTAGACACCATAGAGAACCTGGAAGTACTGGACGGCCGTTTCGTCCTTGTATGGGACTACTCAACAGTGCGCACCTAAGAACCATTCCTCCGCGAAATTCGAACCCACGACCTACTAACTTCGCGTGCGAGCACTTAACCATTAGACCGTTGAGCCGGCATCCAACGGTGTTAATGTCTAATTTCAACCAATCCACGAAGTTGCGCCACCGTACACCATTGTCTTCAGTGAGTTCCTATCTCACAACAGACCTGGTTGAACTCCACTAATAACGACTTCTCACTAGAACTCCAGGAGTGTTTCCTGAAGTCAGTCACTAGTGAGCAGGTGATTATTATTATTAAGTGCATAATTCTATTGCTAAATTAACCCACATTAATTTCAGTCAAAATAACGATGTATGTGGAATAAACAGGTTGGATAAAGAAAGGGTCTAATTACTTGTTAACGAACATTTGCCAAGTAGTTAATAGTTGAATACTACTTTTTCTGTTCAGGCTGTTCTTATTTCCGCACACATACAGCGCTTTTGCTGTCAATCTTTCTTTGTGAGTGCTAAAACCTTTTTGAAGTATTTTGGTCCCTTCAAAATTGATCTTGCGTCCTGTTTCCAACGCATGTAACGATATCACCGTCCTATTCTCAAGTTTCTTCATATCAACCGAGGATTTTAGAACATTTCTCAAACGCTGTTTGTGTCACTTCGATCTTACATTCAATTCTCCCACATAATCTGCATCACATTCATAACCGTTAATCTCATAAACAGTATTCTGTTGTTCTTCCTTCGGGAACCTATCCTTAACTTCCACTAATGCCCATTTTATGGTGTCATTAACCTGAAAATACACTCTTATATCATGCTTGTTTAGAATCCTCCTGATTTCTTCTAATGTGTCATTACGGTACAGGATGACCACGGTTAACTTTCAAAATACATTCTAGTTTAGCTTTTCATTCATTTCTAATAATCTTCTTTAAAAATGTTTGGGCAGATGTTATTCCCAAGTGTAGACAAACCTCTATTCAATTCAACTTGCGGTCTTCCTTATCTGTAACGAGCTTAACACTTCTGTTGATCAAATTTTAACAACAGTGACTTTCGTACACAGCACATAAGCCGAACCACAATCTAATTATCTTTCAGAATGTGTTGATTTCCTGAATACATTTATTTTCAATTTATTATTATATCTTCGTTCAATCAAACAATCGAGAAACGCTTGTTTATGGTCACTGAACTCTATTTCCTTTGTTAGCTTGATGCTCTCTGAAATGTTGTTTACATCAAACAATTCTTCCAAACCATTTCGTTTAATGATTAAATAAATGTCCTCTACATGCCGTAACCAGACTTTTGGTGGATGTGCACATCTTATGATCGCATTAATTTCTAGGGTATGCATGAATAAATTCACTACAATCGGAAAAACTGGTGAACCCATAGTTATACCTTCTTTTTTCTGTTCAGGTCTCCTTGAAATGTGAATAACGTGGATTGTAAACACAATTCCAAGCACTTAATAGCCTTGGATGGATCTGACGGATATCGTGAATTCAAATTTGAATTAGATTCTAAACAATCATGAACAATATCCAATGTTTTGTTGATAGGTACATTGGTAAATAAGGAAGGTATATCAAAACTTGTCATTGTTTCATCCTCTTTTATATGGATGGTATCGATATTATCCTTGAATTTAATAGTTTTTAACTCTGTATATGAATGTATTAGCACAGTATAGACTTGACCTGATTTGATTGTTAAACGCTATATATATTTTTGACTATCACCCTGAAGAAGTCCAGACAAGTTTGCTGGACGAAACGTTGGGATCATTTGAATTTCAATTGCTGAGATTACTTGAATTATATTATTTTACTTATAGTCAATTAATTGATACATTCAGAATAAGAAACCTAGTACTGAGTTACGAATAGTATAACTCTCAAGACGCTGTGTTGCACTATCTTTCGGACCAAGCGATTATGATGAACTGACAGGCGCCAACCATGAACAGCTTTTATTCTCTCAGGCACCACATCGTAAAATGGCCATCAATTCGCTTTTTGCAGCTAGTCCCAGAGCTGGCTAACAAAACACGATGTGTGGGACACTGCGGTGGTATTCGTAAAACATGTAAACGCCAACAGAGTCGATGTTCCCAGTTTTTAACATCATATAAATTGTCATCACTATGACGCAACACACATTATAGACCTGGATTTTTAAGATGGTGTCACCAACGTATATTAGGAATCCTTCAAAAATAAAGATGATCGAATACAGAGAGTCACCAAGCATCCTCAACTCGGAAAGGCCAGTTTTCACAAGCACAGAGAAAAGCTGCTCTAACCGGTTTGTTGAAAAAATGACCAGCCAGACTAACATCATGACTGATGGACTGGATTAACATAAACTCCTTTGACATTCAATAAACCAAGATTAATATAATCAGTCACGCCACCACCAGTACTGACACAACAACTGAAATATCATGCGATTGGTTCCTTTTATAAATTTGAATAAAGTCGAAAAAGCAATTGAAGTAGAAAATTTTGAATTTATTGTATTTCATGGTTTTTCATTAGCTACTTATAACCTTATATGCATAGATATGTAGCATTAAGGTAAGACATAATGTGTGAAAATTGACATTATTGACAGAAAGAATTAGAATAACACTGTCAATATCATTTTTTTAAAATCCCTGTCATTTTAATTCTTCCCATCACCACTGTCAGTTGTGCCACATTATATTTTACTTCAATGTTACACTTCAATACATAAATAGTTGTGACCACTTGACGAGAAGCTACTGAAATAGGCTGATTTTTTAAAATACTTCTTATGGTTCACTGCAAATAATGGGTTACAGCACACGCTTATTTCAGTTATGCTGAACCAATTTTCCAAAGCCTTATCAACTGAAATAGTTCTCAATTGTTTAGCAACCAGTAATATGTTTTTCTAGTCAGCAGAGATTGAGCAATTTTGTCATATACTACTTAGTTAAGTAATACATCATTGGAAATTGTATTTATTGCTTAGTAATTAAAACAAAATCAGTATTGTTTGTTGTTCAGAAAAGCTCACAGTTTATTTTAATTGAATTCTGAACACAATGATCATGAAGATGACGGTCATGTGGTACATCCACATTCTTGTAATTATTTCACTCCAATTCATATGTGCACATCAATACTTCACAAACTACTTACTGTAATCAATAACAAATCTGTAAAATAACACACTCACACACAGTTGAGTATATACGACATTACTGATTATATGTTACAAGAAAAAATTCACCATCCTGTTTCAGCTAACCATATATAGTATATGTGTACAGAGATAGAAATTATTTCAGTTGATGATATAGTGTGAAAATAATAAGATGTTGACCTACACATATTTGTGGATTACTCATTATTTTCACTGGTTGTTCTTTTCCAAAATAGGTCGATCAATTTTCTTCTACTTCTGGTTAAAATAAACCTAAAGTTGATTATTGTATCCATGAAGAATGTCATGTTTGTTTGAATATTCTGTTTTACATTTGCATTGATGGTATATCAGTTGGCGAATTAGTGATCATCTACCGACTACGTCAACGCGTGATGACTAGTTTAAGAGTAAATTGGATTAAATTTAAGTGTGAATAAAACAAGAGATAGTATCAATTCATAAAAATACTGACTGTTGGACTGAGCCATGTAGGTAGATGCAAACTATGTGGTTGGATCCCATGTGTTCATTGTAACCGATTATTAGACTCTAATTGATTTGGCTAAAAATCAACCGCATTGGCGCAGGTGCACTCACTGTTTGTCTCTCCTAATAAACTAAGTGCTCTAGTAATCTTTTTTACTTCATTAATCTGTATTTTCTCAAATCGTATATTCGATGCTTAATTTTTCCTATTACCACTAATACTGTTACTACCTCCACTACTCTGAGAACTTCATCTTGCTGTCAACGGGTTATGGAAACTTGAGTCAATGTACACAGGTGCCAGGACCTGCCCTACATTTAACTAACTGGTTTATGTTAACATCAAACACATCTGTCCGATCGAGTAATGAAAATCACTGGATGCGCATGACATATGAATAATATATTGGGATTGGAAGTCATACGAACTGTACAGTTGGTGAATTTTAAACATTTTACAATTGAATGTGGATGTCCATCTAGCAATTACATTCAAGACGATGAGATGGTTCGAAGTGATACGGCAGTCAGACCAAAATTCTTGTTCACCAGTTTTCCAGACACGCAATTAATGCAATGACTTTTTTATTTCTGATTCGTGAAAGAATTGCAATACAGCTGACTCCTGTTATCTCTAGGCTGCCGTGTAGCGAGTGACTGGCCAAACTAAGCCTACTTACCAGTCAAATAGGGATAAGGGTGACATTCATGATATCCAAATTACTTAATAATAGTTTCGCATTTCAAATAAACACGTTATTCTGTTTTTGCACAAAAGAGAATTTACTGGGACAATCCAAAGAAAAACACCAGGACCGACAAGCTGTCAGTCATCATATTGTAAACTATTGAAGATCCCTACCTCAAGACGTAGTCTAAGCTCTTCCTGTCAATGTATTCAAGAGAAAGTTGAGTCAACTTAAACTTCCGTCGACAGAACTGAAGATGTATCAGATAGGCAGGATTTCATAATACTGTACTAGTCACATCTAATAAGCCAATGAAACCAAAGTCGAGAAAGATGCATTTGAAGTACAGGCATAGGTTTATGGGGTACTATATCAAAGTTGGGTAGTTGTCGCGAGTACATTGCATAGCGTATCCGAACGTGATCTAGTACATATGCTCAACCGAGCATCCTCGGTTAGCGATGTATCCAGTAAGGCTAGAGCATTTAGCGTCAATACCGGCGACTTAAGAAGATATTTGTTTTGGGAACTTTTTGCCTATACAGAACTAACACTAATTGTTATAACGGTTGGTTTTACACGTATGGGAAGTTAATTTACGTTAGACAAATATCTACACTAAATTCCCTTCTACAGGACTTCGTCACAGATCAAAAACGTGATTAGCCTGACTAGGACGTAAATATATTCCACACAAAAACCCGACACAACCCAACAACAACGAACAATCAATAATAATAATTATAAGGACAGGGGGATATATGACTCATCTGACACCTGTCAGATCAAGCAGACAATAAATCATTATCATGCTTGCAGACACATCACTGATCATCCAATCTCTTGTCCTTCCCAAACTAAAACTGATTACGTCCGCTAATTGCGTTAACTTACGCATCTTTATAAAATATTTACCTGTCACAAATCTAATTACGGAGACAAGTGAAAGTACCACCATATCGCTTCTAGTGCCGTCCTCTCCTAGAATCTGTTGGAGAAACAAGTATTTATTACATCGTATCCATAATCCAAATACAATACTCTTTAAGCAAGACGGATAGCAGTGGAGTTTAGTATGTGCGTTCCCTCCTACTTAGGTCCGCCAGCCGGATATACCCGCATCCCTGAGTGAACGCCAACTAGACACTATCCATCTCTGCTTAAAATCATTGTGACTTAATAGCAACATCGAGATAATCCACACAGGATGCATGTACGTTAATTACAGTCCTAAACATTAATGAGAGGCTTCGAACAACTAATTCAAATGAATTAAAGGAGTTGTGATTCAAACAAATGTATTAGGAGCGAGATTGGTTAGGAGCATTTGGAAATAGATATGAACGGGAGTTGAATGCCATTTAGAACCTTGAATATCAACAAGTTGAATGCTTATGAAACAGGACCTTCGTCACAGCACTGCATATTTAATACTGAAAACTCTTTGCTGCAACCAAACATATGACACTCAATGAGACAATTATTAAGTCTCAAAAATCAACCGAATTACATCGTAACAATTAAACACAACTAATTAGTCAGCCCATACATCAGTAACACCGACTAGTGTCATCTTAAAAATTTATTAATCGCATATGAGTTTGCGTTAGCCACCTATCAAGAACTAGCCAATATGCAACTCAGAAATCTAGCCATAATTATTAATTCCAGTTTATTTCATTAATATGAGTTGTACAAACTTAGATCTTTTATTTTTCATACCTAACTGTTCTTAACAAGTATATAGGTGGTCAGGTTATTCGAAAAGCATTAGGCTAATATATTACATTTCATAGTTCCGATAGACTTAATCCTCTCAGTGTATGATGCTTTCATATTTACTAAAAAACAGTTATCAAACATTCTTAAAAACGGAGACGATCTAGCTCAATAACCAATACTGCAAAATAATTGAGATCATATGGATTTGGATATTTTTTTTCTATGATTCCTTGATAGCCTACCTAGTTCGGTGAACAAAAACCGAGTAGGCATTAGAAAGTCTGGTGGCAAAAAGGAATGAACATTTCGTTCTATGTGCAGACTTTCAAAAGACTTCACAGGTTTATAATTAATATCATGGATACTTTTATAAGTTCTTCTACAAATAACAACCACTTAGTGTAATTTATGCATTTATATATAGCATTAATACCAGTGTTATTAACAACGGTCATAGTATAATGGTCTTCAGATAGTACTTAAATGAGTTCATACATATTATCAGATTATTTTACACATGAACTTAAAAACAAAGTGCTGGCAGGCTCATTTTTTAATCAAATAAAAAAAGACAAACAACTTTATGATGAGTATGTTGAAAGTTTGTACTCCTTTTTATAAATTAACAGTAACATTATTACAATAAAACATAAGTTTTGTGTACGTAAAAGAACTAGACAATAGTTAAGATAACGTGTGCTTATATATATATATATATATATATATATATATATATATATATATATATATATATATATATACTTATGTACAGAACAGTTTTAACCCATTAGGCATAGTTGTCTATTATCAATGGTGATGATGGTGCCTTCGTTCTTTTGAATGAGAATCTTTATGTTTCTTTGAATGTGATCTATGTTTGTTTGATTTGTGCTCCTGCTGTGGTTCCTGTTCATGAAATTGTTTATGACGACTTCGTTCATCATTTGTGTGATATGTCATAGAACTTGAAGTGAAATTAAGTTCACCAACATCGTTACTACCGCCATCATTATCATCATCACCAGATAGTGAATGTTTTCTTTTCTTAACTGATTTCTTTTTCTTTTTCTCCTTTTTCTTCTTCTTGTGTTGTTGTTTCAAGTTATCTTTGGAATGACTACTAATACTACTACTGACTTCACCATCATCATCTGAACTATCCAATGTTCTAAAAAGCAATTTAGAAATATATATGGATAAATATTTCATGAAATATTATTTACAATGGCGTTTTATACAAAATTAACAGTTATGACTAGTAACTTAGTGTTATGAAACTCATTTATCAACTAAGTAAAAGTTGTTGAAAAAGGTTATTTGTTTGTGTGATGACAACAGTTATCTGGTTGCCCAGAATGAATTAGGTGGTCGGAATTTCAACTTGAGACCTACTGATTGAAGTTTAATTCTTTTAGCCTCTAAGCAACAAATATGATAATTCTTAATAATTATTAAAATAGCAAGAGAAATTGTAACTGGGTCTCGCAAACAAAAACTGTTAATTTTATACAAAACTGGTAGTTTTACAGAATCAATAACTTTAGCCTTCGAGTCAGATTCAAAAAGCTACTATTTGTATAAGGAACTAACTTATTCATAAGAACATTCAGCAATTTTCATTATATCAATGCCCCAACTAGACGGCAGGAAAACTGATCAGTTAAGTCAATAATTGGTATTTTATTAGTTACTGGATACACTTCAGACACTAAATATTGATAAGGTTTCATAATTCATTTTAGTTCGAAACGCAACTACTTATAACAAGTTCCTTATCGATTAATCTTACATTTAGTTAAATCACTAGAATTATGTTTAAAAATGGTTGACTGTAGTAAATATATCATATGTGATCTTTATTAACGTATATATTAACTGTTGTTCGAATAATGAGTGGATTTCGAACCGAAGTTTACACTACACCTTATACTAAATATCTAACATGAACGAAATGAAATATATATATATATATTAATGTAATTAAATTCGCATATTCCAAATGTACTATTCTTTGTGAGATTTTAAAAATGTTTCCTGGCAGCAAATTTTAAAAATTATTGGGTTTTACATTCGTCTAATGAGGAATCTGTAGTTAAGGTACATGGTTTTCAACTAGTACATCGTATATTCGATCACCACTTTGACTAATTCGCTCTCGTCAAATGGATAGTATAATTGGCCCCCTCATGAAAACATGACAACTCAAAGCTGAGTATAGAAACATATACGTGGTAAATAACAGTCATTAGTAATTTTAGGTCGGAGTATTTTTACAAAATTCAAGACCGACTTGTCTTCTTCTGACTGACTGATTGGTCTAAGACAGAATATTTCTAATCCAGTCAAAAATAAGTATTTTTAATAGTTGAGATCATGAGTCAATTGACGCTAGACTACAATGGAAAATTTGAGCACACGAACATATATGTGGTCGCTGAGTTACATTAACATTCACATAAATGTCGGTTGTTTTATATGGAAGTTACAACTGATAGCTTTTATATATCTAAATCAATAATTTTGAAATATTATGTAAAATTATCATTTTTAGAAAATCATTGGAGGAATAAAAGAATAAAGGACCTAACGACATGAATACTCTAGCAGTGTGGCACATTAATCACAGTGAGAAAAAAAATATCAAGACGACTACAACCAATGTTAAGTGACTGAAGTCTCAATCAAACATCACGTGCACTGATTATTTGTATTTTGATATTTAATAAGATGTAAAATGATTCTAAAATTTAATTACCAAGTCCATTGCCTATATAAGAAACTAATACAACTTTTAAAATTATACCCACTAGTCTTTTTTTTAAAAATTTAACATTTTTTACTTAACATAACTATTTATTTGTAACTTTTGTTAGTTTGATTATTGTTAATATGTTCCGAAATATGATTCAGCAAAGTAATGGTTTATTGATTTGAGGAGCTAACTTTTAACAAGTGTCATAGATTCGGATGGTGTGTTAACTCACAGTAGTTTTAATATCCCCTGCGTAAGAGATGTGGCTTATAGCTTCTATTAAGCAATGATACACTAGAGATTATCATACTCGCCTTGTTTATTTTCAGATATATGCAGTTAATTATATTCCACGTAATCACATTTCAGACAACAAACACCAAACAATTAAGGAAATGGCGTATTATTTCTTTATTAAAGATGAAGTAGACATGAGTATATACCATATAAAAGCAAAACACGTTAGGAAGTCAAGTGAATCCAGATGGTATAAACATAAACTACTTCGGTTAATGTTTCTCTGGCTACTGTTTTAAGAAGAAATCTCATACTTTGAACTTACAGTGACACTGCCTTCAATGTGATTCCAAAATGATAAGATATCAAGTAAGTATAACTAACTGTCGCTTGGTTGTTTCTTCGTGTACTGAAGCGCGAAACTTAAATCCCAATATTGAAATGACTGTTTCACATTTGTAAATAGCCTAGAACATAATCGTGGTTTAAAAGTTAATAATTGGACTACTGAGTAAGTGATGTACAAGAGAACATTAATTTCACTTGGAATTCTCACTTATTTGTTAATCAGAGATAAGAAATATCCAGAATTTAAAGTACATTATTGGAAAGCAAGATTTGCGTAAACAAATTGCTAGGCATGATAATTTTGTTAAAGACTATTGTTATTAGTGGAAAAATAAGGATACAACTGTGATGGAATGGTTTATTGTCCAGTCTTTTAATGTTCTTTGTCAGGGTCTGTAGATGAATGTAAGAAGTCAATAGATTCCATTTGATGAATGGCTATCGCTCGGTTATATCTTATTACTAAGCATAATCAGTCGATCAACACTGAATATGCAATAAAAAATCCACAAGATTTCATGGTCATTCTATTATCTAAGTTTGCACTATGAACTCCATATACCTCCAAATGATGCATTGTAAATTATAGTACTACCATTAGCTTACATACCTAATGAACTTGATTGAAGAATGGAACAACTTCTTGAAACTTAAGAGGTTTAAGACAAGTTCAGAATTAGTATTTCATTTGGATGAGACACTATGAATACATAGCTAGTTTCCCTCAAAGTAGCATAAATTATCTCCAATCAATCATCATGAGGACTGTTTATATGAATATTTATTTAACTGTGCTGTTATTTATTCCGAAGTGACATCGTGATTTATTTAATGGATTACGATTTATGTTGAGATTATTTATAACTTAATTTCCGGAATACTTAATTACTTATGATGTTATAAGTGTTCTTACATGATAAAGTATCCTTGTAGTGATTTATTTTGAATCCTGAAATAAATAAAGTATGTGATTAGTGGGTTAATCGGTTGGTTGCAACGTAGAACCTGGTACGTATGTACATAGATTCAAGTTGCTACACCTCATTAGCACAGAGATAAGATTGTCAGACATGATGGTTCAGTATGACCCAAATGTGGCACACGCGCAGTAGGTGAAGCTTGATGATAGACAGTGTAAAGTTAGAAGTTAGTAATTACTGTATGCGTTGTAACTATTATATCACTGTTAGTTTCATAGATTTATTATTCTCTACGTATTCACAAAACAATAATTAAAAGTCTATAATTTAGACCTGTGGTTTGCTGGTTAAAGCTCGCGACTTTCAACTCCCGAGTCATATTTGAACCTTTGTCAACATACTATGTAGTGGACAGTCACATAACATCACTTGCTAGTAGAAAAAGAGTGAATCAAAGAGCAGTACATGAGTTTGCATTTGCTTACTAAGTTAGATCAGTTACCAATGTGTAAAACTAGTTAAAAAATGAATACAGGAAAAATAAAAAGCCTCATCTTGTATAAAGATAAAATTTAATTTCGGCCGCTATGGAAATGCATCGTTCATTTAGTTTCCTGGACTTCCAGGAAGTTAATTTTTCAACTCCCTTTTCTCTTTATTATTATTATTTCAACATATAAATCTTGGTACACGAGGGCACCAAATATATATGCGCCACACCACATTTGTGTGTGTGTGCTGTGATACTGCCCGGGTTCCCAAACGGAAGCAGGTGGTTTTCTTAGGGGGCCACACCCCGAGAATTTGACCTAAAGGTCTGACCCACAAGGCAATGGAGCATCGTGAGGAGATGCAGTCCCATGGTAGCCGGTGACCAATGATTGGTTCATACGCCATTCGTTCCCTCAGGATACTAGAGTCCATGTGCACCATTAGTTTGGGATCCGGTTAAAGCGCCGGACATTCGCTTTTCGTCCTCTCATTTTCGTAAACAACACCCCCGCCACGAAAAGGCAGTGAGTAGGACTTCCCTGGAAGAGGCTGTATACGCGTGGCCGTGTGAGAGCATTTCGAGAGGGAAGGTAAGCCCACCCCACTCTCGGCCATACCACGGCATTCTCTAGTCTATTGCTTTTAGAATTGCTTTCATTTTGTCGCTCATTCTGACGGTCGTATTGTTAGTGGAGTATAAAACACTTGGAATTGTGTGCTTCCCTTCCAGTATGCAATGTTATTATTCCGTTTTTTCGGATATCTACATACAAACTGAATATTCAGAAGCCCTACAGTAGTCATTCTTCTGTAACCAGCTAGCTGTTAACTGATAAATTAAGCTAATGTCGTGAAACCAATAAACACCCTTAAAGTAACTCATTTAAAAAAACAAGTTCATGTAATTTGGTTTAATTCACAGTGTAGTGTTATATGCAGACTAATCCCTACCCGAATGTCAGAACCGAAGTACGTGGAGTGGAGTTTAAAATCAAGATCTGAAAGTGTATTGACTACAGTTGTTACTGCAATAAGTATCCTAAACAGAACTACTTCGTCCCCTTCAGAGATATTTCCAGATCTGTTACATATTCCACTTGTCATGTGTGATTTTCTCAGGTTTTCCTAATTTCATAACAGCTTTAGGTAGTGACTAGCTAGGTAATGTCCCTTAACCTGGATCGATTTAAATTCATATTACACACATCCAAATCTTTGTCAGCCCTAATTATTTACAGGGATAAATAGAACTCATGAGCTTTAGAGTTAATAAAAGTTCTAAGACCGTGACTGAAACACGTCGTATATTTAATTTATGGTTGGTTTAACACATAATAAATGCATTTCTTTGAATAAGAATTACTCCACCTGTAGCTCTACTAGGGCTATTGCCAGTCCCAAGCTCAGATAAAGGAGGGCCGAGTAGCCCTAAATGCCCTGATACGGCCGAAGGTGGGGACAGTCAGCTCTCCCTCTTAAAATGCTCTCACATGGCCACGTACATACAGCCACTGTCAGGGAAGTCCTACTCACTTCTTTCTCGCGGTAAGGATGTTGTTTACGAAATTGAGAAGAAAAAAGGCGAATGTACGGTGCTTTAACCGGGTTAGTGGATATGAAGGACCCACTCAGGGGAGCTGGAAAACCCTGATTCCAAACCAATGGTGCACATGGGCTCCAGGATCCTGAGGAAAAAATGGCGTATGATCTTATCGTTGGTCACCCGAAACCACGGGACTGCATCTCCTTACGTTAGTCCACTGCTTTGTGGATCAGATCTTTAAGTCGAAGGCTCCGAGCGTAACGTCCTAGACAAGCCACCTGCTTCGATCTGGGCACTCGGGCAGTATCACAGTCCACACACAAATCAAGTGACTTGTGTAGTGCATATATACTCGGTGTCCCTTTATAACAATATTTTTGTGTTTAAATAGGGTCGAGTGTGAAGTCAGTAACCCGACCCCGTAGAAAACAATTTTGCTAAAACACGCTAACCAGAATAAATAATTTAAACCATTTAGGCTGTCTCCTCTGAGTTGAAGGACCTTCATTTGGAATAATTATGACGCCTCGTGATTAAAGCCGATATTCTTCGGAAGTCATGAGACCGATACCCGTTCTAACAATCAGAAAAACAACAATTAATATGGGTACATGTAATGTTCGGACAGTGTGGGAGACCGGAACAATCAACCAAATAGCTGCGGAAATGAGGTGATACAACTTAGAGGTTCTAGGAATAAGTAGAACCCACTGGATCTAAGCTAGATAGAAAAGGATAGATACGGCAGAGATGCTGCCGTACTCCAGTCACGAAGAGGAAAATGCTCCACACATTCATAGAGGTGCTCTGATGCTGTCCAAAGAAGCACGTTACGCACTTATACGATGAAAATCTCACGGATCCAGGATCGTCAAAGCATCCTTCAAAACAACAAAGGAGGGAATTACAATGAATGTTATCCAATGTTAAGCACCAACCAGTGATAACAATGACGACGATAAAGATCAGTTCTACGAGAAGCTGAAATTGATCATGGCGGAGTGCCCAGGAAAGAACCAGACCATCCTGATGGGAGATCTAAACGCTAAAGTCAGAATGCACAACACCGGATATGAAGATATCATGAGACCACATGGATTGACTGGAAGAAACGAACGAGAATGGTGAGAGACTTGCAAATGTACGTGCATTCAACAAACTGGTTACAGACAGCACAATATTCCCACACAAACGCATACACAGAGTTACATGGGCATCACTAGATCACACTACACAAAACCATATCGACCATATTTGCATCACCAGAAAATTCAGGTCAATGGAGGAAATGAGAACCAGGACAAGAGTTGACATAGCTTCAGATCACCACCAAATGATGGCTGCCAAGATGAAAATGAAGCTAAACAAACACTAGTTAACTGGGAAAACAGCATTACAAAGATTCAGTACATACTTCCTTCCAGATACTGACAAACTCAAACAAATCAAGATAACTCTCAACAACAGGTT